CACGGGCTAAGTCCACGTCGCCAGTGAGAGGGGGAAGAAGAGGAGAAGGGCGGGGAGGAAATGTCAGGGCCAAGCAGAGTCGAACGGATCTCTAGATAGGAGATAGTAGATGGAGTGAGACGGAGATAAGAGAGGGAGATGCAGAACCATGGAGAGAGACTACTTCGGCACCCCCCTCCCCCCACGTAAATCGGCTTTGTTCCGCGAGTGTTTCTCGGGTCGCGCTGCCTCTCCACAATTCGGGCTGTGGATCGGCGCCGTCGTTTGAGCTTCACCCCCCACCCGACCCCGATTCGCGTTCGCCGCACGCGGGGACGCTTAGCTTTGCGAGCAGCCTCCACCATCAACTCCACCACCGCCTCCACCATCAACTCCACCACCGCCTCCACCATCAACTCCACCACCGCCTCCACCACAGCCTCCACCATCAACTCCACCACCGCCTCCACCACCAACTCCACCACCGCCTCCACCACAGCCTCCACCACAGCCTCCACCATCAACTCCAACACAGCCTCCACCACCAACTCCACCACCGCCTCCACCACAGCCTCCACCACAGCCTCCACCATCAACTCCACCACAGCCTCCACCACAGCCTCCACCATCAACTCCACCACCGCCTCCACCATCAACTCCACCACAGCCTCCACCATTAACTCCACCAACGCCTCCACCACAGCTTCCACCACAGCCTCCACCATCAACTCCACCACCGCCTCCACCATGAACTCCACCACAGCCTCCACCACAGCCTCCACCACCGCCTCCACCACAGCCTCCACCACAGCCTCCACCACAGCCTCCAACACAGCCTCCACCATCAACTCCACCACCGCCTCCACCACCGCCTCCACCACAGCCTCCACCACAGCCTCCACTGCCGCTGCCACCGCCGCCGGCTGGCGCTGGAAAGGGGATCCGAGTTTTATTTTTACCGCGGGATAATTCGAGCCGCGGGGCAGCTGCCAGACACCATCACCAGCTCCCCCCCCCCCATCGCCTCGCGTCCCACCTACCCCGGCTCCACCACCTACCCCGGCTCCACCACCTTCCTCACCACCACCACCACCACCGCCGCCGCCTCCATCCCTTCTACTGGGACATTCCGTGAAAAAGAGCTTCATAGCTCATCGGATTCCTCGAGGACAAATTCACGATTTCTGACTCTGATGTCCCCCGCCGCCGCCGCCGTCCGCCCGGGGCTCCTGTAACGTCGCTCCGCTCAAGGGCGGCGTGCCGACTCCTCCTCGTCTCGTGCACCTCCGAGGGTGCTGCTCCGGTGGTGGATTTTTTTGTGACGGGGGGGGGGGTCAGAGGTCGTTGCGCCCAGCGGCCGCGACTGGAAAACGAAAAACTCATCACGAGGCGTCCCCGGGAAGGAGCCAAGGGGTTTCAGAGGCGTTCGAGCCGGCAACCACTCAGAGCCTGGGTTCGAAACCAGGTGACGGCCACTGCCTCTGATTGAACCTGTTAGGTCGGGGTCTAGTTAGCTGATAGTCTCAGCCTGCTTACTGGTAGCGACTGACGTAGAGACCCATAGACTCACGTAGAGACCCATAGACTCACATAGACCCATGACTCACATAGAAACTCACATACTTATATATAGACCCACAAACTCATACAGAGACCCATAGACTCACACTTAGACCCAAAGACTTATAAATAGACCCATAAACTCATATAGAGACCCATAGATCCATATAGAGACACATAGACTCATAGACTAACACTACACATAGACTAACACTGCCCAAAGACTAACACTGCCAATAGACTAACTGCCCATAGACTCACACTACCAATATACTAACACTCCCCATAGACTCAACACTGCACCTCCGATTGGCTACGCATGGTGCGAAAGGTCAACAACATACACAAACAAAACAAAGACAAAGATCCCCCATACAGCCTCAACAGACTGTCGGGGCAAGTGCTGTTAGCGAGCAGCACCTATGAAGGCCGGCACGGCACACGAGGGAGTGGGTGGTCAGCACCACGCCCGGCCGCCTTTGTATCCCGATAGTGGCGATATTTTCTTATCGCACCAGGTACTCGTTTGAGGCTGAGTCGACCTAGGGGACCGGTTTAGATAATCGTCACATACATACGCCGTACCCTCAACCGTGCCAGGCTAGGTGCAGGAGGTCACGGGACAGATCCAGGTGTCACGGGTCGACTGATTGAGATGAGTGGCTGATGCACCACCTGTGCCCCTTACTGTGCCAACTTGCTGTGCTTTAGCCGCCCGGCGCTCCGCTCGTTGTTGTGAGCGTCGCTCCTCCGCCCTCCGTTGTTGTTGGAGGGCGACTACCTCCAACTGCCCAGTAGCGTCCTTCACGAGCCTCCTCCACAGAGGCCGATCTTGACACCGCTGGTACCAGTCATCGGCAAGTCCACTCAGCTCCACGTCCTCCTGTACCACATCACTCCATCTCTTCTCTAGCCCGTGCCGCGCCCGTTTAACCCCCTCGATCCGGCCGAACAAAAGCTGTTTCGGCATGCGGTGGCTGGGCATGCGGGCTACATGACCCAGCCAACGCAGCCTTGCCTGCCGGAGGAGCTCACCGATGGGACTGCGTCCAGATCTTTCAAGGATCTGTGAGCTCCTCACACAATCCAGCCTGGTTAAACCCAGGATGGATCGTAGGCAGGGTTAACCTAAATGTTTCTAACCGGCGAAGATGTTCCATTAGGGGGGGGGGCGGTCAACGTAGAGAAGGGAGGGAATGACCGTGGCCGAGAAGACCTGAAGCTTCGTGTGAAGCAGAAGACCAGGTAGCTTCCACACAGCGTTACGAAACCGATGAAAAGATAATGCACACGCACGTATACACACGTACACGTGTGTGTGTACGTGTGTGTACGTGTGTGTGTACGTGTGTGTGTGTACGTGTGTGTGCGTGTACGTGTGTGTGTACGTGTGTGTGTGTGTTTACGTGTGTGTGTACGTGTGTGTACGTGTGTGTGTACGTGTGTGTGTGTGCACGTGTGTGTACGTGCGTGTGTGTACGTGTGTGTGTACGTGTGTGTGTGTGTACGTGTGTGTGTGTGTACGTGTGTGTGTACGTGTGTACGTGTGTGTGTGTACGTGTGTGTGTGTGTACGTGTGTGTGTACACGTGTGTGTGTGTGTGTGTACGTGTGTGTGTGTACGTGTGTGTGTGTGTGTACGTGTGTGTGTGTACGTGTGTGTGTGTACGTGTGTGTGTGTACGTGTGTGTGTACGTGTGTGTGTGTACGTGTGTGTATGTACGTGTGTGTACACGTGTGTGTGTGTGTACGTGTGTGTGTGTACGTGTGTGTACGTGTGTGTGTGTGTACGTGTGTGTGTGTACGTGTGTGTTGTACGTGTGTGTGTGTACGTGTGTGTGTACGTGTGTGTGTACGTGTGTGTGTGAGTACGTGTGTGTGTGTACGTGTGTGTGTACGTGTGTGTGTACGTGTGTGTGTGTACGTGTGTGTGTACGTGTGTGTGTGTACGTGTGTGTGTGTACACGTGTGTGTACGTGTGTGTGTACGTGTGTGTGTACGTGTGTGTGTCTGTATGTGTGTGTGTGTACGTGTGTGTGTGTGTGTACGTGTGTGTGTGTGTACGTGTGTGTACGTGTGTGTGTGTGTACACGTGTGTGTGTACGTGTGTGTGTGTACGTGTGTGTGTGTACACGTGTGTGTGTGTACGTGTGTGTACACGTGTGTGTGTGTGTACGTGTGTGTGTGTGTGTACACGTGTGTGTGCACGTGTGTGTGTACACGTGTGTGTACACGTGTGTGTGTACACGTGTGTGTGTGTGTGTGTACACGTGTGTGTGTGTGTGTACACGTGTGTGTGTGTACGTGTGTGTGTGTGTACACGTGTGTGTGTGTACACGTGTGTGTGTGTGTACACGTGTGTGTGTGTACACGTGTGTGTGTGTACGTGTGTGTGCGTGTACGTGTGTGTGTACGTGTGTGTGTGTGTTTACGTGTGTGTGTACGTGTGTGTACGTGTGTGTGTACGTGTGTGTGTGTGCACGTGTGTGTACGTGCGTGTGTGTACGTGTGTGTGTACGTGTGTGTGTGTGTACGTGTGTGTGTGTGTACGTGTGTGTGTACGTGTGTACGTGTGTGTGTGTACGTGTGTGTGTGTGTACGTGTGTGTGTACACGTGTGTGTGTGTGTGTGTACGTGTGTGTGTGTACGTGTGTGTGTGTGTGTACGTGTGTGTGTGTACGTGTGTGTGTGTACGTGTGTGTGTGTACGTGTGTGTGTACGTGTGTGTGTGTACGTGTGTGTATGTACGTGTGTGTACACGTGTGTGTGTGTGTACGTGTGTGTGTGTACGTGTGTGTACGTGTGTGTGTGTGTACGTGTGTGTGTGTACGTGTGTGTTGTACGTGTGTGTGTGTTCGTGTGTGTGTACGTGTGTGTGTACGTGTGTGTGTGAGTACGTGTGTGTGTGTACGTGTGTGTGTACGTGTGTGTGTACGTGTGTGTGTGTACGTGTGTGTGTACGTGTGTGTGTGTACGTGTGTGTGTGTACACGTGTGTGTACGTGTGTGTGTACGTGTGTGTGTACGTGTGTGTGTCTGTATGTGTGTGTGTGTACGTGTGTGTGTGTGTGTACGTGTGTGTGTGTGTACGTGTGTGTACGTGTGTGTGTGTGTACACGTGTGTGTGTACGTGTGTGTGTGTACGTGTGTGTGTGTACACGTGTGTGTGTGTACGTGTGTGTACACGTGTGTGTGTGTGTACGTGTGTGTGTGTGTGTACACGTGTGTGTGCACGTGTGTGTGTACACGTGTGTGTACACGTGTGTGTGTACACGTGTGTGTGTGTGTGTACACGTGTGTGTGTGTGTGTACACGTGTGTGTGTGTACGTGTGTGTGTGTGTACACGTGTGTGTGTGTACACGTGTGTGTGTGTGTACACGTGTGTGTGTGTACACGTGTGTGTGTGTACGTGTGTGTGTGTGTACGTGTGTGTACGTGTGTACACGTGTGTGTGTCTCTCACCAGCTGATCCCGCAGCAGCTCGAGCGCCTCTCCCAGCGGCCGCTCCGTGGCACCGCGGCCCCGGGACCCCCCCCGGGCTCGACCCCGGCGACTCCGACGTTTCGGGCTGGGGGCCCCGCGCGGCCGTCAACTCGCAGTGGACGAGGCGGTCCTGGCGCTCCCGCAGGACTCGCAGCTCGCAGAGGCCCGCCACGGTCGCCTCCAGCCGCTCCGACATCCTCACGCGCTCTCGCCTCAACATCACCACGATGATGATGCTGCTGCTGCTGCTGCGATGGGGGTGGTGGTGATGGGGGTGGTGGTGCTCGTTGTTGTGATGGTGATTATGTTGGAGGGGTGATGGCGGTGGTGATGATGATACTACTGGAGGTGGAGGAAGTGCTGTTGATGACGGTGGTACTGATGGTGATGTTGGTTGTGATGGTGATGCTGGAAGTGATTGAGATGACGATGATGGTGGTGGTGCTGCTGGTGGTTCTGATTCTGCTGCTGCTGGTGGTGGTGGTGGTGGCGATGTTGCCAGCAGCGACGGTGTTGATATGTCGTTGCTCGTTGTAGTTGATGCGACTTCTGTGGCTACTATTGACGAAGCTGTTGCTTCGGCGATGTTTCTCTTGCTGCTCCTGCTGCTGTTGCTGCTTCTACGATGTTGCTGCAACCGATGTTGATGCTCATCTGACAGCTATTGATTATTGCCGCTGCTCTTGATGTTGCTGTTGCAGCTGCTGCTGCTGCTGCGAACGCGTCCCCTGTTGCAGATACAAATGTTGATGTCGCTGGCGATTGTTGCTCTTGCTGCAGATGCCGCTGATGAGATCGCTGGTGTTGCTGCTGGCTTGCTGTCACTGATGATGGCGCTGATGATGATGATGATTGTTGGTGGTTGTGGTGAGGGTTTCTCGCAGACTGCATGGGCGATTATAAAATAAACCACAAACGCATGCGGCCCCAGTCTCTCTCTCCCCCTCTTTCTCTCCCTCCCTCCCCCCTCTCTCTCCCTCCCCTCTCTCTCTCCCTGTACCCCCTCTCCCCCCTCTCTCCCTTTACCCCCTCTCCCCTCTCCCCCCCCATCTCCCTCCCCCTGTGCCCCCTCTCCCCTCTCTCTCTCCCCTGTCTCTCCCTGTATCCCCTCTCTCCCTGTATCCCCCCCCATCTCCCTCCCCCTGTGCCCCCTCTCCCCTCTCCCCCCCCTATCTTCCTCCCCCTGTGCCCCCTCTCTCTCTCCCCTGTCTCTCCCTGTACCCCCTCTCCCCCCCTATCTCCCTCCCCCTGTGCCCCCCCCATCACCCTCCCCCTGTGCCCCCTCTCCCCTCTCTCTCTCCCCTGTCTCTCCCTGTACCCCCCTTCCTCTTTCTCTGCCCCCCCCCCGTGTCTCGTTCTTCTCTTCAATATGCGGAGCGTGGCGGCGTTGAGCCGCCTACAGACGCACGTGGGGACGGGGGAAGTGTATGTGTGTAGGGGAGTGTGTGTGTGTAGGGGAGTGTGTGTGTGTAGGGGAGTGTGTGTAGGGGAGTGTATGTGTGTAGGGGAGTGTGTGTGTGTAGGGGAGTGTGTGTGTGTAGGGGAGTGTGTGTCGGGGAGTGTGTGTGTGTAGGGGAGTGTGTGTAGGGGAGTGTGTGTGTGTAGGGGAGTGTGTGTGTGTAGGGGAGTGTATGTGTGTAGGGGAGTGTGTGTGTGTAGGGGAGTGTATGTGTGTAGGGGAGTGTGTGTGTGTAGGGGAGTGTGTGTAGGGTGTGTGTGTGTGTCGGGGAGTGTGTGTCGGGGAGTGTGTGTGTGTATGGGAGTGTGTGTGTGTAGGGGAGTGTGTGTGTGTCGGGGAGTGTGTGTCGGGGAGTGTGTGTGTGTAGGGGAGTGTATGTGTGTAGGGGAGTGTGTGTGTGTAGGGGAGTGTGTGTAGGGGAGTGTGTGTAGGAGAGTGTGTGTGTAGGGGAGTGTGTGTGTGTAGGGGAGTGTGTGTGTGTAGGGGAGTGTGTGTGTGTAGGGGAGTGTGTGTAGGGGAGTGTGTGTAGGGGAGTGTGTGTGTGTAGGGGAGTGTGTGTAGGGGAGTGTGTGTAGGGGAGTGTGTGTAGGGGAGTGTGTGTGTGTAGGGGAGTGTGTGTAGGGGAGTGTGTGTAGGAGAGTGTGTGTGTAGGGGAGTGTGTGTGTGTAGGGGAGTGTGTGTGTGTAGGGGAGTGTGTGTGTAGGGGAGTGTGTCGGGGAGTGTGTGTAGGGGAGTGTGTGTATGGGAGCGATAGTGTAGCGGTTAGCGCGCTGCGCTATGAACCTGGCGACCCGGGTTCGATTCCCGCTCACGGCCAACACCAGTGACGATTATCTGAACCGGTCCCGGGCCTCCCCTAGGTCGACTCAGCCTCAAATGAGTACCTGGTGCGGTGTGTAAACATTGCCACTAGGGAGACAAAGGCGGTCGGGCGTGGTGCTGGCCACCCACCCCCTCGTGTACCGTTCCGGCCTTCATAGGTGCTCGCTAACAGCACTTGCCCCTACAGTCTGTTAAGGCTATATGGGGGATCTTTGTTTTTTGTGTGTAGGGGGGTGTGTGTAGAGGAGTGTGTGTAGGGGAGTGTGTGTAGGGGAGTGTGTGTAGGGGAGTGTGTGTAGGGGAGTGTGTGTAGGGGAGTGTGTGTAGGGGAGTGTGTGTAGGGGAGTGTGTGTAGGGGAGTGTGTGTAGGGGAGTGTGTGTAGGGGAGTGTGTGTAGGGGAGTGTGTGTAGGGGAGTGTGTGTAGGGGAGTGTGTGTAGGGGAGTGTGTGTAGGGGAGTGTGTGTAGGGGAGTGTGTGTAGGGGAGTGTGTGTAGGGGAGTGTGTGTAGGGGAGTGTGTGTAGGGGAGTGTGTGTAGGGGAGTGTGTGTAGGGGAGTGTGTGTAGGGGAGTGTGTGTAGGGGAGTGTGTGTAGGGGAGTGTGTGTAGGGGAGTGTGTGTAGGGGAGTGTGTGTAGGGGAGTGTGTGTAGGGGAGTGTGTGTAGGGGAGTGTGTGTAGGGGAGTGTGTGTAGGGGAGTGTGTGTGTGTAGGGGAGTGTGTGTAGGGTGTGTGTAGGGGAGTGTGTGTAGGGTGTGTGTAGGGGAGTGTGTGTAGGGTGTGTGTATGGGAGTGTGTGTAGGGTGTGTGTATGGGAGTGTGTGTAGGGTGTGTGTAGGGGAGTGTGTGTAGGGTGTGTGTAGGGGAGTGTGTGTAGGGTGTGTGTAGGGGAGTGTGTGTAGGGGAGTGTGTGTGTGTAGGGGAGTGTGTGTTGGGGAGTGTGTTTAGCGGTGTGTGTGTGTAGGGGAGTGTGTGTGTGTTGGGGAGTGTGTTTAGCGGTGTGTGTGTGTAGGGGAGTGTGTGTCAGGGAGTGTGTGTAGGGGTGTGTGTGTGTGTCGGGGAGTGTGTGTAGGGGAGTGTGTGTAGGGGAGTGTGTGTGTGTAGGGGAGTGTGTGTAGGGTGTGTGTAGGGGAGTGTGTGTAGGGGAGTGTGTGTAGGGGAGTGTGTGTATGCAGGGGAGTGTGTGTAGGGGTGTGTGTGTAGGGGAGTGTGTGTAGGGGAGTGTGTCTAGGGGAGTGTGTGTGTGCAGGGGAGTGTGTGTAGGGGAGTGTGTGTAGGGGAGTGTGTGTGTGAGGGGGGGAGAGTGTGTGTGTAGGGGAGTGTGTGTGCGTAGGGGCGTGTGTGTAGGGGAGTGTGTGTGTGAGGGGGGGGGGGGGGAGTGTGTGTGTAGGGGAGTGTGTGTAGGGGAGTGTGTGTGTGTTGGGGAGTGTGTTTAGCGGTGTGTGTGTAGGGGAGTGTGTGTAGGGGAGAGTGTGTGTCGGGGCGTGTGTGTGTGTAGGGGAGTGTGTGTAGGGGAATGTGTGAGTGTGTGTAGGGGAGTGTGTGAGTGTGTGTAGGGGAGTGTGTGTAGTGGAGTGTGTGTGCGGAAGGGAGTGTGTGTGTGTAGGGGAGTGTGTGTGTAGGGGAGTGTGTGTGTAGATCTGGGCAAGGTCCCATCGGTGAGCTCCTCCGGCAGGCAAGGCTGCGTTGGCTGGGTCATGTAGCCCGCATGCCCAGCCACCGCATGCCGAAACAGCTTTTGTTCGGCCGAATCGAGAGGGGCTAAACGGGCGCAGCACGGGCTAGAGAAGAGATGGAGTGATGTGGTACAGGAGGACGTGGAGCTGAGTGGACTTGCCGATGGCTGGTACCAGCGGTGTCAAGATCGGCCTCTGTGGAGGAGGCTCGTGATGGACGCTACTACTGGGCAGTTGGAGGCAGTCGCCCTCCAACAACAACGGAGGGCGGAGGAGCGACGCTCACAACAACGAGCGGAGCGCCGGGTGGCTAAAGCACAGCAGGTTGGCACAGTAGGGGGCACAGGTGGTGCATCAGCCAGTCGTCTCAGTCAGTCAACCCGTGGCACCTGGGTCCGCCCCGTGACCTCCTGCCAGCGGGCGTTCGACACTTCACGTGGCCTCAGGGTGCACATAGCCTGGCACAAGCGTCGTGGTGACGTCACCGCCACTTAGTGGTGAATGGCGGTTGTGGTTGTTGTTGTGTGTAGGGGAGTGTGTGTGTGTAGGGGAGTGTCTACAGGGGAGTGTGTGTGTGTAGGGGAGTGTGTGTATGTAGGGGAGTGTGTACAGGGGAGTGTGTGTGTATGTAGGGGAGTGTGTGTGTGTCGGGATGTGTGTGTTGTGGGGAGCGATAGTGTAGCGGTTCGCGCTGCGCTATAAACCTGGCGACCTGGGTTCGATTCCCGCTCACGGCCAACACCGGTGACGATTATCTAAACCGGTCCTGGGCCTCCTCTAGGTCGACTCAACCACAAATGAGCACCTGGTGCGATCTGCAGTAAACATCGTCGCTGGGGAGACAAAGGCGGCCGGGCGTGGTGCTGGCCACCGACCCCCTCGTGTGCCGTGCCGGCCTTCACAGGTGGTACTTGCTGACAGCCACATGCACCGACAGTATGTTACAGGCTACACGGGGGATCTTTGTCTTTGTGTGTCTCTCTGTGTGTGTGGGGCATAGGGCTGAATATTAAATGCGAGTGCACGTGGCTCCTGTTTGTTATCATGACTGCGCGACACGCGCACGGAATACTACAGAGAACTCACCACCACCACGAATACCACCACCACCACTACGGTCACAACCAATAGCACAAAATGCATATTTAAACCGCTGCTGTAACCACGAACGCCACCACCGCTACCGTAACTAGCATAACCATGACCAAAACTATATATCTTGTTGTAACTTGCTAAATCAAGATTCCGATAACCATTTACCAACACCACAACTGCCACTACCGCTGAAATGCAAAGATAAAATACCTCAATACTACTACATTGTGGGCGCCACGGTGGCTATGTTAACTACCTCGCCTCGTATACAGGAGG